TCAAGAAAGCTTACACATCCTATAAGCAAGCCATTCAACTTCTCCCATGTCACCCACACAAACTCAACAACTTTCGGCCAGATTCAGCAGACAGAAGACAGTGTGCTTGTTCAGGATTGGCACAACGCAGTGCGGGAATCAAGGATGCCTGGCTCACGACGAAAGACCGAGTCAACGGTTGTGGTTACACCTGCAACAGTTGCACTTCAGAGGACTACATCTATTCGATCAAGAAAACGGGCCAACACAAACCTAACAATCTCTCCTAGGGACTCAATTGATCTCGGCCAGCCCTCACCCACTCTTTCAGATGAGAACACCATCCATACCTGCCCTCGTACACCACCTCCACGAACCACATCAAAGTATTGCCTCCGAAGCCTTGTGGAGGACCCAGTAGAAGAAGACAACGAGTGTGTATTCAGACCAGGACGTGACTCAGTGTTCCTACTGGGCGGAAGAAAGACACCAATCAAAGTAGTGAGGGAGCAGATGAGTGACTCAGACTCATCAAACTCATCAACAAACGATGAGTATGATGAGGGTATCTCAGAACTTCGTTCATCGAAATCAACACCTGATTTACTTGCACTTAGACGCAATAGTTACTTGATGGGACGACCCGTCAGCCAGATTGGTGTTTTCGACGACTCGGCTGCTACTTCTACTCAGACCAACAGAATGTCAATGGCCGGACGACGAATGTCTAAGAGATTCTCCATTCGCCCAGATGCACTTGCCCAGGATGTCGGTGATTTCCTTGACTCATGGGAAGAGGGCATTGACTGGTACTACGAGAACGACTACGAGAACGAGGCCGATGAGATTCAATGGGATACTCTCGATTACGGCATGACACCTGCACCTTCATGCGAGTCTCTACCGATAGACAACGACATGTTGAAGGTTCCCGAAGCTAAAGACGAGTTTGTGCTCGTGGAAAAGAGGATCACTGGTGTGTTTGAGGACAAACTTCTTCTTCCTCCTTCTCCTCAACTGACCTCGTTCCCCGATTCGACCATTGGGATCGCCGACGGTGGCTTTGAATCGTACGAACCGGAGAATGAAGAAATAATCTTCCGTGCGGCCTCAACCGCACTGAGACACCGCTCGATCAGTTCTGCCGCGTCTCTCCCAGACCTCATTCATAGCCGACCATACCCCGACGAACTCAACCGTGTGGCTCAGCAGCTCGACGATCACATCGCGGCACTAAATCAAGAGTCAATACGACCCATCAGCACGAACACTCGTGATCCGCATGCGTTCTACTTGGGAAACCGATCTAGAGCCTACTCGGAAGCCACATGCGTCACGCTTTGCTCTGATAGTACAGAGACTGCAACACCTGCTAGTGCAGATGAGATTCCCACTCCCAATAGTTCGGCTCACAACTCCTTTCAATTCACGGGCCGGGACGATGGGCGTGCTGAGAAAGGCTTGTCATTCCCAGCTGCAGCTCTTCCTGGTGTCATCGAATTTGCTCCTGATGGTTTGCATCACATTGCTGCCGATGAGCAGGAATTCGTTCATTTCATCTGATTGAACTGCGTTCATACTGTACTATTCGAGCTTTAATTCTTTTTTTGGGAGGCTGCTGCTGCTGTATATTGTTTTTCTTGTACTATTATTATTATTATAGGGGAGGAGGGGAAATGGGTTTCCCTCCCTCCTGACGCGTGCCTGACTGGCTATTTCTTTTACCTTTCCTAGATTCTACTTGTGATTATATTCTTTGGGCGCTGGCTCTTTTCTTGTTTCATTTTTTTTTCTATCAGTGTTGATAAACGGGGACTTGGGGTGTTAATTGCGGCTTTTCGTAAAAATCTTTCCACATTTGTTTTATTTCCATTGCTAACTGGGTCTGCATTCTACATATTTCCTTTGTTATGGTGGTCTAAAAACGGCTGGCTGGGTGTGGTGGTCTGTACCTGTTTGTTTAGGAAAAGGGATCGAGGTCGAGCAACAAAAAAAAAAAAAGAATCAAAAAAAATGAAGGCGAATAATAAGTAACCCTAATTGGTAACTTCTTGTTTCTGCTTTTCAAAGAATCCTTACATATTGCATCATCGTACTGCTATTTTTCTTTTGTCGTTTTCCGTTTATTCATCTTTTTTCTGCTTTTTCTTCCCTGGATTACAACAACCGGGGGGTACACGTACACGTTTTGGAGCTCTTTTTCATTTGTTTATGCGGGTTTTTTGGAATTTGGGAAGGAAAGGGAGGGAGGGGGGGGTCGGCGGTCGTTTCGAAATTCTTTTTCATTTTCGTTTTCATTTTATCTTTTCTATCAAGGGTGGTCTCTTTTTCTGGCATATGCAGGGCGGGGAGGGATTTGGGGGCGGGGATGTTTAAATTCCTCTTTTTTATATATTTTATAACGGACTTAATTAGAAGGTCTAGGGCTCACGCCTGCTTTGGGAAACACAAAATTCTATTTTATATTTATTTTTTATATATTTTTTATATACTACTTGTCTGTCGTTGATACTATCTCTTCTTATTCTTGGGCTCTTTGAGCGGTTTGGTTGGTTGGCTGGTTTGGTTTTGGTCCGGTTTTGGTTGGTGGTTGGTTGGTTGTCTGGTTGTCTGGTTGGCTATCCACTTTTGTAACTACTACTACTACTTTACTACTACCTACTATTACTACTCGTAGCTATTACTACTATTTACACTCCATCCCTACACTCCAAACCACCGATCCAGACATCCAAACTCGACAGAAGTAGAGTATTCCCAACCCGCCCAACCACACGTCACCGCCACTCTACTCGAGAGTAAACACCTACTCTACATACCTACATACCTACATACCTACGTAGCTACTACATGTATCTACAAGCATGTGAAACCGCAAACAAACCGCTCCATCGACGATACTCACCCCTTCCCACCGATTCCCGCCCGCCCATTTCAAAAAGGACTTGGTAAGCATAGCATACAACCCCTCCTCACCTCCACCACCACCGCTCTAGCTCTACCCTCCTCGCCCGTGATTTCAAAAGTACCGCACTGCTAGCACCCCCGGGCCCCTGCCCTGCCCTGGATACACGTCTTCTGGAAGCGGAGGAGGCAGGGGTAATGGCATGGGTAGGGGTAGGGTAGGGTAGGGGGTGTGGAGTATATTGGGTTGCAGTTGCAGTTACAGCCGCTCTTCCTCGGTGCCGCGGCGAAGGAGGGGGGGGGGGGGGGGTGATTAGAGAGACTCTGCGTTAGGGCTTTTTTTCTCCGCCCCTCTCTCTCCTCCCCGGCTCTGGGGCAGTGAGGGGGGGGGGGGGGTGCAGAGGCCAGGTTCGTCCCATCCATGCTCATGCTGTCTGTATGTGTGTCTGACCAGGTGGGTTTGTTCGGCATCTGATAGTTAGGGTATGCAGGCAGCTGTACGTATGTACGTACTGGCACGGCATGCGTACATCACATACAGCTACAGCTACAGCTAGAGTACAGCTACGTACAGCTGTAGAGTACTCTATTCTACGTACATATTGTACCTCGTACATAGGCGAGCGTGCTCTAGAGTATGAAGAGCAGGTGGAAAGGTAAACGAGCATCTCCTTCTTGCTGCTATTGTGCAATCTGTAGCCTCGCCTATGTACATACCGACATAATCTCGAGTAAGTAGTTTATTGCATACATAAACTCGGTAACACATCGAATCACTAATTTGGGGGCGTCTGTACGCATGTGGAGGTGGACACCTGTTGATCCGTGATTGCGCTGGATGGTTGTGGTGCCTGAATTGTGCACTTTAGCTTTGCAAATCCCCGTTTTCGCCCCCCCCCCCCCCCCCCCCCCTTCCAACCCATGCAGCCGACTGGAAAATTTAGTATCGTGAAAAAAAAGAGGAGGCAAAAAGGAAAGAAATAAGCCCCCGGACCGTTACATGTCACTCAAACAGTCAGGTAGAGTCGAAGTCGAGTATGTCGAAAAGCCATGTGCCTGCCATTCCTGCCATTCGCGTGGCAGACAGGCTACATGGCTAGCAACTGGTGAACTCCAAACGGTCTTCTACCTGTTAGCTACATGATACTCCACCTCCACCTACTCTATGGAGAAAGAAAGAAAAAGAACACATGTAACTCTAGAGCTGAGCGATGATGCTGAACATGATGCAATAGAGCGCTCTCTACCCGTGCCCGCAACAGAAAGGATACGAGACTACGTAACGGCATCCCGAAAAGCCCCCAGGTCCAGGCCTAGGGTTCTCCGCGCACAGCGGGGATGCACGATGTATGGGGGGGGACCTGGACTCTACTCTACTCTGCGCAGTTAGACCTTAGTCAGCGCGGGCGAGTACTCTAGGCACAGTATGTGCGGTACATGCATGCAGTAGAGCAGAGGTTGATGCTTGCTGGAATGCTCCCCGGAGTCCAGGTCGCGCCCAAACGTCTATCTACACAATCTAGGCTCGGAATTGTGTTATCGCACATATTGTACTCTACACCGGCCGGAGTAGGAGTAGGAGGAGGCTCAATTGCTTCTTCTGACCCCGACCCCCCCCCCCGTTCCAGTTCCGGCTGGACGTTATTCCTTGGGATCTGAGGTTCAGCAACGGCTGGTGGTGATCAATAACGGGTACTGTTATACCCCCCGGTATTTTGGCCGACTTTGCTTCTTTATTTTTTCTGGACAAGAGAAAGAGAAAAAAAAAGAAAGAAAACCTCAAATAGTCATCATGACGGAGCTGGCTTTTTTTTTCTCCCTCATTTTCTTTTTTCGTTTCCCTCTTCCAGAGGGAGAAGGGCAGAAAAAAAATTCCCGCACATCCTTCTCCTTCTTGTTTCCTCTTCTTCTTCTTACGGCACATACAAGTTACATATTTTTCATCCACGAGCAATTTACCAGCAAACTCCCCCATGCTCTCTGCGCCTAACTCTATCTATACTCTGTATTTTACGAATTCAACCGTCTGCAGGGGTAGTTGGAGGGAGGCTCAGTGGCCTGTTTAGGAAGGGTGGGCTAAACATAACCACTAGCTGTATCGTACCTCTATCCCCCCCATGTCCCGTTGGGAGGTTATCAACACACACAACGAGGTTTCAGCGGAATTTGTATTTGCAGAGTGTGTAGCTGGTATTTCTAGAAGAGAGAAACACCAGCCGAACATACATACAGCTGGCGACGCCGCCGCCCATAAGGAAATCCCGCGGATAGATGGAAGAGAAGGGCGCGCGGGATAGGATAGGGTAGGATAGGAATAGGGTAGGATTAGGATGGGATAGGATTGGGATGGGATATGTTGGTCTAACTTGGACAGTGGGTTCAAAAATAAACTCCCTTCGGAATCCCGTTCTTCTGTTCAGGTACGGAATTAAACGCAAGGCATTAAGGAAGCTGATGCGGCCGGGACCAAAAGCAAGACAAGACACACGAGGCATGGCGAGAACAGATACGAAGACGTACCTGAAAAGAAAACTTATTTCTGTAGATATGCAATTATCAATTATTACATCTCCATCTCCAATCCTCGCCGGCAGGAACGCCGCCACCATATTCGTGGGTAGGGTAAGGAAGGCGTATGTGCTCAACATACAAACCCGTACCTGAATCATCTGAATCATGCCCAGAAACACACTTCCTATCCAAGACACGGAATAACCCACCGCAGTCCGTCCGCCAGGCTGGGCGGTTAATAGTTCTTCCTTTCCAGATAGATCTCGTATCCCCAAGATTGGCCGGTAGAGATTTACGATAATTCATCTAATCTCTCGGCAGCGTGTTCCCATCCATCCCATTGAATTCCCCCCATCCACCATTCCCAACGAACCTAACCCAACAAACGGATGACACAACGGATAACCATCCACCACACACTATCACTCGGAAACTTCATAACCGCCCCTCGAAATTTCCCGTGCCGCACCCGAGTACGCTTCATTTTCCACTTCCACCATATTACAATTGCAATAACTCTGTCCCCCTCGGTAAACGTTTTATCTATCTACATGTATCTACATAATCTATCCGTCCATCTATCTAGCAAGCTAGCTACATGTAGTCCCATAGTCCAAGTGCCTCTAGGCTCGCCACGCCCGCCAGGCGGACCACCGCCGAATCTCGGCTTGGGTAAATTTATGATGATTATCAGCCTTCCCCCCCCCCCCCCCCCCCCCTCTTCTTCTCCCCGTCCCGGTCTGCAGATCTGGGGTATCTATTCTCCTCTACTCTACTCTATTCTGCTAGTGTAGTTGGAGTATAATCGGCACCCCCGAGTTTCCCGGGGAGCTAAGTGGCCCATACTCAGGAGCAAGTCGCAATTACGGTATCTACCTTTTCTTCACCCACCCCCTTCCAAGAGAAAATAGAAGAAGACAGAATTCCGAAAGAGGGAAAAGAAACGCGCGAATTTATCCTCCGCCCGGCCCTCATGTCAATTAAACACACGTGGGAAGGCAGGTTGATCATTGACACATGCGACCCATGTTCCACAGACATGTGGTGTGCAAGCCGTTTTGGGGATTTATTTTAGGGATGTGTGCATAAGTGGGAGCGGAACCCTAACCCTCCATCTGTTTCACTGGTATATTGTACTAGGGTTGATCAAGAGTATTTTATGATAGTTAAGAACAAGCCCTATATGTGTACGAATGGCCATGGATGGATGGATACGCGGCGTAACATTGAAAGATCGGAAGATCACGCTGATTATTGATTGCGGCTAGCTAGCAGTACGTATGTACGTGCGCGGATGGGGCTTTGAGTTCGAATTTCTTTGTGTGATTGCGAGTCTGGACCTCATGGGTTACAGGTTCTTCCACGGGGACATGACGAGTGTACAGTACGTGTTTCGTGCTACGGGGGAAGGGGGGGGGGAGCCGGGAGGGCATCGCATGGGATGTGTACATGTCGTGCATCGTGATTTTTTGTTTTGTTGGGTTCTTGTCTTCCTGAAGAAAACCTAAAAATATGTGTTGTGCAATGTACTACTACCAATATTACACACTCATGTAGTATGTAGTATGTAGTATTATGTGCGTGCCCCAACCCAAGATATCCGTCTGTACACTACTGCAGAGAGTGCAGTGAGTGCATACTGATTACAACCCCCAGTTATCATTTCTACTCTCGCCATCCAATTGATCTCCGCCCCAATCGCAATATTGCAACTAAAAATACATAGTACATTATCAATCTCAACCAACCAGCCACATCCCTTTATGATATCAAAGGGAAGGGAGAAAACCTTATTCCCTAGGAATTGCATGGGGGACTTATCGCTCCCTCTCCCTCCCTTGGAATACACATGCCGCAGCATGTTGATAGACGAAGGTATATCCCGGATCTCTAGAGTACGTATTGCTCATTACACCTCCCTCCATCCAGAAGCCTATCATGTAGTACGAATTAATGGGCGTCTCTATCTAGCTATCTGTATACCCACCTACCCAGCAGGAAGGAATGAAGGTACAGGTAGGCAGGTAGGTAGGCGCATGTACATATTCTGCTCTCGCAATTGTACCTACATACGGTGGGTGCAGTATTTGCCCCAAAACGGCCAGCAGAACAAATTGATATGCCTTTACTGCGCATGCGAAGGGACGACGTTGTCGATAAACACTACGTTTCAATGATCTACGGGGAACCCCGGTCACACACTTGCCATCTGCCCCCCGCAGGGTGCATATCTGGTTTCATAGGTACTACCATTATTATAATATATAGATAACATATATGTACTCTAGGAAAAAATAAGGCCCTGCAAGCGAATAGGGGAAACCCTCTTTTTAGATATGTTAGATGCCTTACGAGACGGGGAAGGGAAAGAAGAAGAAGCTGCATACCGTATGTACCTGCTTCTTACCGTGGGGATATATTCAATAGCATGGTATCCGTTTCGTTTATATTCGGGGCAAATGGACAAACCTAGGCTTGTGCTGGGAACCGTTCAATGATGATGGTAGTACACATTTTACTCGCCCTCAATCGAGGGGCGGTTCTACATTCCGATGACCTCCGCTCGGTACTTGGGTGCCGGCAGATGGGTACCTACGTCGGCTGGTTGGTTTAGTTGGTCGTTCGTCGGTCGGTTGGCCAGTTTTGGTTGCACATCTCACTCAGCCTTATGTACCTATTGACGACGGTCGTCTGATGGTTATTCTCCGTGAGACATGGCAGCTTGCAGCCGGCTTGGTTGTATGTTGATCATGATAGTAAACTTGAATCTGCGTTTACTGAAAGTATTCCGAGTACGCGAGACACAGAGTTTGATTACTAAATAATCCTGTGTCGCTGTAACTGGTAATGATTCTTGTACTACATGTACAGAAGTGGGTATGTTTAGTAGGTTTGGACCTTCATACTTCCTAGTTGTAACAACTATTTAACTTGGATAACCCTGAAGAAATTAGTAGAACATAAACTTTTTTTTCTCGCTTATTGCTCCCCCTCATTCGTTTCGTTTGATACTGCGTTGAACCTTGTTGTGTTCAGTTGCCGAGTCTTTTGCCTTGAATCGACGGGTCGAGATCTTGGTTTCCTACTTGAACATATATCGGTACCAAAAGTAAGTTATCAGTGTGGTTTTGCAGATGCGGCGCAGTGGATCCTGGGAGTTTCAAGGCCAGTACAGCGGTGGGTAATAAGTCATCAGACGGAACGCCACCAAAATACGCGTTTGCAGGCAAAATTGTGGCTAGGTCGTCCGATGACTTATTACCCACCGCTGTACAAAAAGTCTTCAGGGAATCCTTGTTCAGGCATCAAAAAAAAAGCAAGAAAAAAGGGAACAGTAGCCTTATGATCGCTCGAAATGTGTTGGCCATGGCCCCAGGGGAATTTGGTTCTCACGATTGGGTTATGGAAAGTGTCAAAAGGAGAGAGAAAAAAGCGAAAATCAGCTGAGACATCTCGTTAGCCGCCATGCGAATAAGCTGACTAGAGTACTCTATGTAGTTGCTTGATTTGTTTTGTCAATTATTACCTAATTCGCGTCATCGCCTGTCATTCGCAGTCTGGGATATCACGTTGTCCTGTCACCCTCACGTGGATTCATGTGGGTCATCGAGTGGTCGTGGGGTCTGGACCCCAAGGGGGGGAACAGCATCGAGTCCACGCTCGCTGGAGTAACCGAAACATAACCATAACCTACTCTGTCCGGGACACTTGTATTGAAAAAGATCTTGTTGGACATGCTGCTCTAGGGATATCGCATCGGACGGGGTCTAAGCGGACTAATTTTCCGTTCGACGGATTGAAGATCACGGGACGTCTGATCAGTAGGATGTAGTTGCGTGCCAAGTCTCGAGTGATAAGAGATGGAGCTAAGCCACAGCTGAGGTCAATTAAACGTCTATGTGTTCTATGCAATCTCTTGCCGCCCATTATGATTCAGTTTGTAGAAGTACGTGCTGTACCTACATACCTGGCGAATCTCGCATGGCTGTCGACTCTGTCTAGACAAGTGGTCAACACAAGGTCGAGATCTTGTTGGAGTTGGTTCGTGGTTCGGCCCGATGATTGGCTGCTGCGGTGGAGATGAGATGAGATGAGGTGGGCACGAGCCAGACCGCACACCCACCCAGCCAATGCGAGCCCGCTCCAGATGCAAGATCAAATTGCCAACAGAATCTGTTGATCTGCGAGTCATTTTGAAAAAAGTCAACCCCACTGTCGACTCGTTCTATGCAATGCACACACAGTAGTTGGTCAGTGCTTTGTCAAGCGAGGGGCATTACTGAAATCACCTTATGCTTTTTCAGTTTCTTTTGGGTTGATTGATCGTCGTTGTCTGGACTGCAAGACATGGTCACGTAGGTGCTCACTCCGAAACATTGTTGCGATTTCAATTCTCAGTGGTCCTGGTTTCTGAAGAACGAAATATGATGTTTAATCAGATTCAAAAGAGAGGAACGGTGATGTATCAGATCTAGAGAGAAGAAAGTCTAGGTCAGTACATTTCAGCCGTCTCTCTCTCGGCTTGACCCGTCTCACCTAGACTCACGGCTTACTAGGCAATGTGGGCACGATCTGGCCTGCTGACGAATGTTTCACGAACGTTTACCGCCAAGCTGAAACCTTGTTTGCAACCTGACAGACGTTAACAGTTGGATGAGAGATCTTATCAGATTACGCCATAATCGGTGCTTATCCAACTGCCAAACGGGTTCACCAATAATTATAAGCTTAGTAAGTTGAAGACATTGAAAAACTAAACAGAATCAGTCATGTCATCTCAGTAATGTTAGAGATAACCGCCCGATTCTGTATAGAATTACTTAAGCATAAATGTTCTGCTCGTGGATACTAAGACATAGACCAAATTTTCTTTCGAGTCCATGAATAAGGCAATTTCTCTTCATCTCAAAGGAACGTGGGCTATATACTTGTAATCATAGGCATATGCATGGTACCTAAGCCTTTGAATATATAAATTCATCAATGCTCTACTATATTAATGCCAAGTGTATAATAACCAAATATTTTTAAAGCATGTAGTGAATTTGTATCCAAGATATTTACACTACTTCACTACCTAGTATATACTTGCAACACAATGCAGCCACATATATATCGACTTGATACATCGAAGAGCTCCATCTAATTCCAACGCCTGATTCAGTTCCTATGATCGAGGAAAAAAGTATAAATTCCCCATCCTCTCTTCCTCTGCGGATTTCTAAACAATCTACTCAACCACCACGACAAGTACCAAGTGCTCCTCCTGTCATCACCATCAGCGGTACCTGCTACTTTAAAACCCTCACAAATAAAGACATGGTCTTATAGACAGTAGTGACAATCTGCAAAAATCACATTCGACAATTGAAGGCCCGCCCATAACCTGCATTATATACATACTTCGGGCTTTGAACCGTAACATATCCACCAATGGCACTCCTCCGAGAGGCCGCCACTAGTAAGCTTCCCAGCGAAGTAACCAGAGTGGAGGGCTCTGTTTGGTAGCTGGAAAATTTCGGGTAGAATACATATCTGCCGCACCGTATATCCGAGTGATACCACATGATCATATTCCCAAGTGACCCGATGATGAAAAAGGATGGAATAGCACTACCTAGATAGACTGTTAGGCTGAGATAGTCTACCGAAGCTCCCCGATGGTAAAATGGAGGCCCGGGGGGGGGGGGGAGGTTCATCATTCCAGATGAGCAGAGTCGGAACATTACACCAACCAGATGCATCCAGATAGATGTTCGGTCTAGCTCATAGATAGGTCAGCTATGATTACACCAGACCACCGGCTAGTAGTTAGCCGCGATCGTGGTTGATAGATTCTGCGTTCGGAGTGATATCTCATGACCCGCTGGAAGATCGCTGTTACCTACAGTCCGGGCGAGTCGACTGCCCTATCGATGACTGAAGCGGGCTGGGGGATGTACACACTGATCCGCGTGTACTTTATTCGGTCCGGGGGAAGCCTAATAGACACGAAGCTTGGTCGTTAGATTCTATGCCATTACGAGGTTTCGAGTCTTCGACTAATTGTGTTCATTCGCCGGCCCGTTGGTTGGTGGGTGGCGGACATATTTGCCGGCGTTGTTTGTATGTGGTCAGAACGTCAGGAATTGGCGGGGACCCTCGGAGCGGAGAGGCGTCCCACCCTGTGTGTTTGGGGGGGTGGCGGGAGATGTTTGTGTGATTTCATCTCGATTGGCGGTGATTCCCCCGCCCTCTCGAGCTCTCTCTCTTTCTCCGCTTGTTGGTCATATGAATGCCGTAGGTGTCCTCGCGGTGGCCGTGGCCGTGGTAATTCGTCAAGCAGTTAGCACATCCATGTACCTGGATTTCGTGTTCCATCCCATGGCCATTCGGTTGATATCGAAACACAATCTCTATCTGTAAGACTGTTCTAACGCTGTTAATCTAACCTCATGCCCGATGCTCCAAGACTATCAATGTGTAGACCGCCCAAATGTCCGTTACCACTTCCAACATCTAAGAAAAACTCTGACAAGATACCTATCTCGTAACCACCCCCGCTTCCCCGCAAGAACCAAACCCCACCCATCCTAGCGCACCACCGCCAAGCATTAGTTAAGCACTAAAGGAGCCTAAATTTTTTTCACTGCTGTCAAATTCCCAACAAGGGCGTATGGTTTAGGGGTATAATTTCTCATTTGCAGTGCCTCTTCGGAGGCAGTGAAAATTGAGACGGTCCTGGGTTCGATTCCCAGTGCGTCCAGCCTTTTGTCTTCTTTCCTTTTGTCGCGGTGGTGGGCGGGTGTAGATGGGAGGAATTCTTTTTAATGGTTGTGACTGCGGTTGCAGGTTAGGACTAACATTGGGGGGTTAGGGTTTTTGTAAGGGTGTATGTGCTTTACCGGCTTCTAGAGAGGGGCGCAACTTTGTTTTGATGGCCGTTTAAGATGCAGTGTACTCTGGCCTTCATGCTTCCATATAAAGCAGTGGTGGATACACATATACCCTTGCTTATCGTCATAAAAGGTTAATGAAACCCCAACTATTGGTTGTGATGTCCAGTCTGGGGCATATTATTGTATCTGATTTGAGTATCCACATAAATATGAAAGAGAGTCTTTGTGAGATTAGATATCATTGGCCTACTCATGCCTAGCTCTGTGGCCCGAAAGTTGAGTCTCTGAACATACTTGAGTCGGCGCAAGGAGATGTAAATTGAGCTCCATAATGAGTGGTGGCTATCGGGTTCTAACAACGGTCTGTTCATCGCTGTTAAGTCTAGTTGTGATGGCCGGTACCGGAGGATGGTTTCGGAGAAGACCACCCGACGGCAGTAAATTCATCGAGGCCGGGAACACATACTACCATGCTATTAATGTCGAGGCAAAGACACGACGATGACGGCGGTAGTTGGGTGTCTGCAGGAAGTGTCCCGGTGGTGCTATATTTGTAATGCCACATGTGTGTTTTTCTCAGGATTTCGACTCTTGTGCTCTGACAGATAGAGGCAGGTATGGTCTTGACGAAGCGTGTAGTTGGTTGGTGGAGGTAAGAAGAGGTGAAGTGAAGTATATGTTTGTGTAAGAGCCCCCTTCTAGCAGCGGGCCCACCAGGTCCTTTTTTTTGTACCGGGCCGAATCATCTATAGCTAGGGGTGCAGGCCTAGGACGAATTGCTGAATGACCTCGCGTAATGCATATGTAGGTAATGATATATAAGGTACTTTGATCAATCGAGGAATATTTATGTATGGAGCTGGTGGTTAGGTACGTACATCTATACTAACTTGTATAGATGTCGCAAACATACATAAGTGATTAGGTAGACTGCTTATTGCATGCATGGCATCACAATAGTCAATGATCAACCAACTCATGAATCATAGCCAGTGCTCGCCAAGGTCCAGGTCAACCACATTAGTATCTAAATATTAATCTTCCCCATCATCATTAGAAAGCCTTCCCACTAGTCTATTCTGACGGAGTTGAGATAGTTGATCACTTTCAGATCTTGTTTTTAGATCCCACAAAACTCTTATTGACAGAAAGACTACCTGTACGCACTAATCTGCTATTCTTCAGCTCATTCAACATTTGATACTTTCTTAATCTGAGCTTATAGAACAACTATGTAGTTAGTTCTTTCGGAAATACAGTGCATGGTTAAGGCTTCATATCGCATCTTCTGGGGCGAGAAGCTAGTAGGAAAGGGCCGTACGATGACTTTTGGGCTGGAAGTTTTTGTATAAGACTGGTGGGATGGGTGGTTTAGTGGTTTAGTGGTTTAGTGGTTTAGTGGTTTAGTGGTTTAGTGGTTTAGTGGTTTAGTGGTTTAGTGGTTTAGTGGTCTAGTTATGTCTCTGTCCTCCATACATAGTATTATCAAGCCGGTAATACTTGTGTGTGCTTGTTATTTAGTCGGGTCTCTGGGAGTTCGTTTGGCCGGTGAACAGATCAGTCGGGCTCCAGTGACTAGCTATATAGTACATGTATCTAGCTGTAAGACCGAACCAGTTTATCACGAGTGGAGTACCACTTTAAGTTTTTGTAGGTTATTGTTTAGACGGAATACGTTCATATTTACTAGGGGTGTGCCAACTCGCGACCGCGAGTTGTACGTTGAATTATGGGTATCAAATAAAATTTAATTCTCCCTCTACAATCATGAGGGGCCTTCAGCCCCATCCTCCTCCTCTCGTGAGTGCTCAGTACTTTGATGTGTCGTGCTGACTAATCAACATCTCTGCACTCAGCAGCCAATCAAACCGTTCTAATGTTAGAAAACTTAGCGATAGTACATTATAGATAATAACAAGTGAATCTCCTCAGTATGGTCAGAGCTACTCAATACAAAATTGTATCTACATACAGGGTTGGGTGTATGTTTCAATCAATGGCAACCACGCACGTCAATGATCACCAGGCCAACAATTTCTTCCATCCCCCACCTCCACCCTCTAAACTCACAACTAACAACCCCACCTACTCCCCCATATGCCTACACAACACCCTCCCGCCCGCAACCTGCACAGCACACAACCCCCCCTGCACCCTCATCCCCACCACACTCGCCACCAACACCGCAACCGTATCCGGCGGCGCCACTGCACTCAACAGAAACTCCCGCATCGCCCTCTCCCCCTCCTCATCCTCCTCCCCGCTCCCGCCGAGTAATTGATACCCGCCCCGTGCGCGCCCCAGCTCCTTCCACACGCCCTTCGGCAGCGCCCCGTTACGCACCCGCCAGTAGGTTTCGCTGAATGCGAAGCCGCCACACAACCCCATTGCTGCGACGGCGCAGAGGACCGCTGGGGGCCCATAGAGCGTGTCGAGGAGGTTTGAGCTCATGGAGAGGCTCTCGGCGACTTGGAGGGTGAGGATTATCGCCTGGAGGAGACATAGAATTGCCGTACCGGGCGGGCGGAAGAAGGAGATGCTGGAGCGCCCGATGAAGATGGAGAATTGGTAGACGGTGACATAGACTGGGTAGAAGTCTCTGGTATGGCGGAACACCTTATTGAGGAATCCATGGCCGTTACTGTCAGCGAACGGTAGCGGAAAGAGAAGTGTCGGGAGGACGCCCTGGACGACGGTGTTTTCGAGGAGCATGACGAGCGCGAGGGGCGCCATGTACCGCCAGAAGAGCGGGCGGGCAATTCGCAGCTTGGAGAGCGTGGGGAGGGAGGAGATGCTTTCTTCTGCTATGCTGCTGCGCCGGCGGCTGGTGGGGAGTGCCCGCTTTGCGGATGTGCAGCTGGGGTCGGGGAGCAGGAGGGCGTAGGTGAGAAGGATGACGGCTGGGAATATTCCGATCACGGAGATGGTTCCGCTGGGAGTGAAGTGCAGGGTGGAGGTGCTAAAGGTGTACATGAACGCACCTACTAATGCTGCGCATCCGCTGCCCGTGGTGTAGCCGCCGAAGGCGGTATTTGGATAATGGGAACAGAGCTGTAGGAACGACCTGTTCATCCGATAGTCTTAGCAGGAGTTATCAGAAAATAGGACAAGGTGGAAACAACATATCACCCAGATTGCTGCTTAGGCTAGCCATAGATATCCCCAGCAGCCTGATACCAGTATAGTCCGCCCAAGCCAGCAACTGCAGCCCAAAGAAACTGCTCAGAATACAGATCGTCAGGCGTAGCGGATAGTTGACGTGCGCCGTTAGCGAGTCCGCAGACGAATATAAGCTTCCCCCATGCTCTACAGCCATGCTGTTAGTGCTAGCAGTGGAGGAGGAATAAAACTTGTCCGCATCATCCTCTCCTTTGTTTTCCCTACGGAAAAGGCGGGAGAGAAGCTTGTTAGGACTGCTGTGGAGCTCGGGAAAGTGAATAAATGGGATGAGGGTGCGAACGAGTACGGAGGGCAGTGTGTATGCGAAGAGGATTGATCCTATGGGCGCGTGGTCTCGTACTAGGCTGGCAGGTCTTTTATTAGAAAGGGGGACATTCAGCCTTTTTTTCTGTTCCTTGTTCTTTTTCTTACTCGTTTGCTGCGGTAACGACGACACTGTTGTTCTGGTTAGATTATGGTCTATCTGGCTGATATGGTGGCATACCTGAATTGCATAGCGATCAAAGTCCCGAATAACAGAAACGAGAGAAATAGCCGTACGCTGGGTGTGAAAATCGTACTGGCATGACTACTGGTACTGCCTTCTAGCTCTGAGGAGACGCTATCTTCGCCGCTTCTGTGTGTTTGCATGGTTGTGTATACAGATGCATAGAGCTCTGGAGTTCGGGTTGAGGTATAAGCTACAATGAGGGTGTTGGCGTTGGTTGTAGTTGATAAAACGTAGTCCGCTATGTGGGGGGATCTTTCTCCCCGAGCCACAGCAGCGGTGAGCGAGCGTGGGGTCAAGTCAAGGCTATCACGCGGTTACAGCAGCTTTATTTGTGTGCTAGTCCAATCGGAGGTGAATATGATTCATGCCTAGAGTTCTCAAATTCAAAGGCATTAATCTCGTGGGCTCCTGCAGCATGTGGCCTTCCGCTGGATAAACTTATTCTTCCTGTCAGGAGCCAGTCAGTATGGAACTGGATGTGCCTACATGTACATAGGCCTAGGCGAACTGCTGATGATCTTATCACGGTTAATAACCTTGAGCCGATCAGCTTTAAAAGAATACGCAATCAATCTAAGCTAGTCTTTGGCCGAGTTATACAATTAGCAGTGGTGAGGTCAGGGCTTGGCGGTCATAGGCTCTCACTCATTTACCACACACTTCTCTACAGCTAGGTCTTCCAGCACGTACTGACGTTTCAAAGTATCCATAAATTGACGATTTTATCATACTAGACGAGAAAGTATATGATGTACATGTAGGTTCATTCCGGCCTGCCGCTCGGAAGCCAAACTCAAATGCCGGGTACGTAGGAACCGTAATTCTCAAAAGCCGAAAGGTTTTGGGGGAAAGATGAAGAAAATCTATACCACTTCTCAGGCTCAACATACATAGAAATGTCTTTGATTACCTAAAAGTAAGTACTTCCATGTATGTGTCTCTAATAGAATCACTCTGGTAAAGATCTTCAAGCGAGTGATGGCCAGTGATTGTAGATTTGTCAGCTGGAAGGCTAATAAAGGAGCACTAATCCTTGATCACCCAATCAACGGATGGCAAGAATTCAGCTAGTCTCATCTCAGGAACGAACTGGATTTCACGGTAGCGTAAAAAGTTAATTTTAACATTCCTCGTTATGGGAGTGAAAGTTCAAGATCGAATACAACCTGCACCAAGTGGCGACTAATAGCACGGGATACAGACTCCTAGAAACTTTCAAAACCTCCTGTTGTATAATCTTACGAACTAGAACCGCCTATGACTTTTCTCATCATTTCAGGTCCCGGTTAAATAGTCTGTCCGCGTAACGAGGAATATCGCAGATCACTTCCACGGAAACCTCCGTTGCGGAAAGAAAATAAAAATATCGGCCCTTCGATCTACTTACTCCTAGAAGTGTTTTATCCTGGCCGTGTAAGTAGTAGTAAAATGTGTCTTCTCGATTAAGATAAGTAAACAAACATCTCTTCTAGGTTGGTTACATAGAACATCGATCACTTGGATTTATAATACTACGAAATTTGATTACTAAATAGTAGAGTAGCGAGGTAAAACCCCATCAAGGGTTTTCTCCGCAAGGTACCTCATATATGCCTATAATTGGGTTTCTAGAATGAACTCGCCTGCGTCGTGATGCTTTGGTCCTTGGATATAAAACTCCCCCTTCCGTCCCCTTCCGCGGCGAGGAATAGGCCAGCATAGCAGACCAGCTCAACACTTTCCGGGCGATCCCTCCCAGGAGGCAATTCAGCATCTATATAGATAAATCTGTTCTTAGAGATCATTGGTTGATCTCGAGGGGCGAGTGGCTCGGGACAAATCGGCTCTACTCTTTCTTAATATTAAAAATAACCTATGCTGAATCATACGATCCGATACATGGCGAAGCATATATGGCTAAGCATATATGGCTCTGCTCAATTAATGCCGGCCTGTAAAGAAAATTCATGCATCGTTGATAGCAGTGTCCCGAAGCGATTGAGATTTTCGTTCGTATTTGATATTATATGCCTGGTCCAATTGCCAAGTTTCTATAGGTTTTGTATTGTCTAGGTCCAGGTAGGGTATATGTAATGAAATAAGTAAAAAAATGAAAAGAAAAGTCTATACCTCAGCGGTTTATCTTACCGTTTTATCTGACTTACCTGTCTGGCGTGTTATTCGGATCCGTTTCAACGCTGAGATGAATGGGTTGAGTTTTGTTGGTCTACTGCACTGCGGGGAGCACGCATAGTGGGGCGTGTTTATTGCACTGCGTTGTTCACCTAGTTCACTTGGAACGTTGGGAAAACATAGCAACAGAACTGAAGTCATGAATTGCCAAATGTGCCACTCCTTAAACGAGAGCCTCCACGCCACCCTCTTCTCCACCGTTCAACTACAGTTCCCACAAAGTCGCGCCCGCCTGGCTCTCCTCGACTAAAAACAAAAAAGAGCACTGGTTAGTACTTACGGACAATTCGCAAGGTACGGGCAAATCGCTCCTTCTTCATCAGGCAAGGCTTTATCATCGAGCTCTTTCATCTCATCATCAGTGAGTTCGAAGTTATAAACATCTGCGTTGCTCTTAATTCGGTCGGGGTTGTCACTCTTGGGTAGTGGCACAAATCCATGTTGGAGGGACCATCGTACAAGCACCTGGGGGACTGAGACGCCATGTGCCTTGGCAATGGATTGAAGGGTTGGATCGTCGTTCTTCTGGGCTCGAACCAAGGGTGCATAGGCCTGTATATTTTGTTAGAATGTCGCTGAGAGAAGTCACAGGGGGGAGACGAACCTGTACGATAATGCCGTTTTTCCTGCAGTAGTCGACAACTTCACGTTGTTGACACCAAGGGTGCAGCTATAAAAAGTGAGCTTTGGTGAGCTGTGGTGAGCTGAGGTGATCTAAGTGGATAATAAACAAACCTCAATCTGATTCACTACTGGGGTAGTCGAGGAGAACTCTTTAAGCTGCTCCAGGTGCTTCACTCCACTATATATAATATTAGTTTTTGGGTTTCTCGGGATATATATTATACAAAACGAGGGGAGGGGGGACCTACAAGTTACTCACACCGATATCCTTAGTTCCTCCCTCTTTTTTCAACTCCTCCAACGCGGTCCAAAGCTCCTTTCTTCCTTCCTTTCCACTGGAAGGAGAGTGGATCAAGAATAGATCCACATACCCGAGCCCAATTCTCCCCACACTCTCCCTCAATGCCTGCAGCGATTTCTCAACGCTTCCAACGGGTTGCATAACTTTCGTAGTAACATAGACGCTCTCACGTGGCAGTCCACTCTCGCGAACTGCCTCGCCTACTTGAGCTTCGTTTTCGTAGTATTGAGCTGTGTCAATGTGACGGTACCCAAGTTTGAGAGCAGTTAGGCAAGAAGCCTTGCATGTCGATTCATCTGAAAGGTAGACCCCGAAGCCAATATGAGGAATTGTATGAGATGAACCGGTGAGAGGAAGAACATCTTTGAATGATAGTTTGCCCATCTTAAACGAGATTGTAAATATTTGACGGAATAGAAAGATGGACGGATGCAAGGAGTACTAGGAGCTCAAAGGTTTGGGGAAAGCTCAAAATTTGAGGGGACGCTGGCCCCTTAAACATAGCGGGGTTAAAGGCTCGGGTATTGTGACGTAATCCAAGTATTTTCCAGTAGCAATTATTGGATTTGTCTCCTGTCACTTGCAGGAACAGCCTGTATGTAAAACTTAATAATCGCGGCTTGTTTATTACAAGTCGCGACGAATAGCCAAAACAGGCTAGCCTGTATCAAACGACCTCTGGCCTCAACCCATGTTAGGCGAATGAAAGATATCATGTCATCTATTTACCTACATGTACCTAAGATGTACCTACAGTACCGTACATATCTAGCTGCTAACATGCTCTATGTTGTATGCATCTGGTTCGAGTATAGAAACTACATGTAGGGGCTTGTACCTACGTTTGAAATAACTACATGTATATGTAGTATTTGATCCCTGAATTTATTACCGTGGTTGCCGCTCGATTGAATCAAGCAAAAGGACACTTTAAAGTGCCTTTTCCTCGTAGAAATCTTTGAACTCAGGGGAAAAGAAACGCTTTTTCAGGTATTTGTGGTGTGTGCATTATTATATCATTGCGTCGTTGTAGGACTTCCAGTGCGCTCTCATAATGAGCCCGTCCGTTCACTCACCCCCAAAATTGCAACCATGTTGACTTCTCATAGATATTACTCATGACGTTAATTGACTTGTTTCCTCGAAACGTACTAATAAACGGATGAACGACGAACCTTACATGGAACATGGGATCTAACGTATTTTTATACCATTGCTTATGTTAACTTTTTTTTTAGCTCTCTGCCTCTATGACGAAATTTAAGTGGATAGAGGTATAGAAACGATCTTATTTGGAATGACTACTCGTGACTGCTATATATATGTTGGTTGCTGGAGGGGGTCGAAGGTTCCGATTATCAAGATTTTCGATTCCTGCTTGCCTCAGCTGAACCCAAATTCTTACAAAGGCTACAGTAGTCGTGCTCATAATGGACAAAAATACATGTAATGTCGTGGTGTTAGACGACCTTGAAGGTTTCATAAAACGTTCATATTTTGCATCAACCCTCGATATTTCCCAACGAATAAACTCCATCAAGCCACACGGGATTCAAACCATCGTCCAGCTCCTCGAAGAACGTGAAAAATGCGTACCCAAACTACCAGCAGTAGCGGTGACAGTTCCTGGAGTTTATCCTGAGGACGAATGGGGAAGCAGACGTTTCTGTGAGTATATCCTGTGTCCCATACCTGGAGGATACTGATAAAGATAATAATCACCTTTCGAAGCGTTTTTGGAACTGTCCAGAGTTTCAAACGAGTTGGCCCACATAATGGTCTCGGAGGGGGTTGTCCCAGCCGTCTCCGAGGATGATATTGTGAAAGGTCCACCCCGTGTAGCTATATTATCCCAAAGCTCCATCGAACTCCTCACGAACTTCCTGGCACTAATCAGGATTGGTTATACTGTGGTATTAATTGCGTAAGTATATTTAATTGGGTGCTTATCTTGAATGTTGATCAAGTTTACTTTAGGCCTCAGTGCACCGAGCATGCAGTATCTCACCTCCTCAAAATCACGGAGTGCACACATGTACTACACTCATCATCACTCACTGAGCTTGTAGCATTATCCAAGCCTAAATCATGCAAAAATCATACTCTACTTGATATCCCTGTGTCACAGACAGCCAAGCGATATATCACCCCAGCTGGGATCGCCGGTTCAACGATTGCATACGTCCACCACACGTCTGGAACCTCGACAGGTCTTCCGAAGCCTATCCCACAAACCCACGCAACTGCAACCTTATACTTGCCATGCCTTCCACCTGCATCTCCGACTGCAGCCTTTACTACAACACCACTGTATCATGGCGGTACTGCAGATTTGATGCGGTCACTAATGTCATCCTCTTTGCTGTGGTTGTATCCACCATCAGTTCCGCTGATTAGTGGCAACATTATCAAGGTTCTCCAAGTTGCGGAAAGAGACAAACTACCAATAAAACTCTTTACCGCAGTTCCTTATGTTATTGAGCTTTGTGCGGGGCGCGAGGAAGTCATGAAAAGAATGGTGGAAATGGATATGGTGGGGGTTGGCGGAGCACCACTAGAAGCAGAGGTCGGCGCAAAGCTGATCAAAAGAGGGGTCAAGCTTATCTCGCGATTCGGAAGCAGTGAATGCGGATGTACAAAACTTACATATAATGACCTCTTACAATATTGATAAACTAACTCACGTGGTAGTTTTAATGTCATCCTATCGTGATTTCGCCACGGATCAGAATTGGGATTACCTGCGGGTTCTACCCGGTTGCACCACCCTCCGCTTCGAGTCGCAGGAAAAAAACCGTGGGAGAGTTGAGCTTGTTGTCCTTCCAGGATGGCCACAAATCGTGTGTGCTACCCCTATTACGATTCCCGTCATATAATCATAACTAATCACTCGTTAGGCCAAGCCCAATCGCCCGGATGGATCTTATGCCACAGGTGATCTATTCTTACCGCACCCCACTATAGAGAACGCGTACAAGTACGATGGACGTAGCGATCTCATAATTGTGCTCTCCAATGGGAAAAAATTCGACCCCACTCACATCGAAGAGGCCTTCAAGGAATATAGCCTGGTAAACGAGGCAATGGTTTTTGGAAACAATAGGCCATTCCCGGGGCTCCTTCTTTTTATGAACGTTCACCGAGTACTATTTGGGGATATCAAAGAGTATGTACAAGAGGTCAACCAAAAGACACATATCAGAATAATGGAAGAAATGGTCGTTGTGCTGTGTGCCGATGAGCATCCCCCGAAAAACAGCAAGGGGACACTTATGCGGGGAGCTGTTGATGAGATATATTCTAAGGAGATACAGAAGGCGTATGAGATGTTTGAATGCCACGGTCCTGGAGAAAGGATGAAAATTACAGATCTTCAGGGCGTAACGGATACAGTGCGTGCCATTGTTGGAGACATAACTGGTAAAGAGGTCGGTGACGATGCAGATCTATTCAATGCCGGGGTTGATTCCGTCATGACTGCGCAGATACGCAACAGATTAACAAAGGTTCGTGGGGATCGAGCACGGGGTTATAATGAAACGCTAATATCTATGCAGGGTCTGGACATCCAACAGCCGCTGCCGCTGAATGTAGTTTTTGAACAAAGGACTATTGAGGGGTAAGATAATGACCACTTTATCCTGTTATACAGACTTTCAGATAGTTGGCTGATTTTATAATTATCTAACGGTTATATAGGATTGTAAGGTTCATAACAACCTGTGGGGAGGAGAATGGGGATTCTTCTGATCGGCAAGAGGAGTTGATGCTCCAGTTGGTGCAAAAATACACTGACAGCATCGGTATACGTAACACGGATCTAGGGAGGCCTACCGATACCAAAAATGGCCATGTAATTGTAAGCCTATCATCCAGCTTTTTTTAGAGCTCTAGAACTTATAATCTGATAATTGTCCAGATCATTACTGGTGTTACGGGGGCCTTGGGCGCTCATATATTTAATCAATTACATAATTCTAGGGAGGGTATTGCAAAGATTGTGTGCCTTTGCCGTGCCAGTGATAATTCACATGCACTTTCTCGTGTTGAGAAGAGTTTAAAAGCACGTAAACTACCAGGGCTTGGTGGAGTTGGTCCTAAGGTGATGGCCGTTGCTGCAGAGCTAGGGTGCGAATATTTGGGGCTTGATAAAAGGATCTACGACCAACTGAAAAAGGAAGTCACACGGGTTATTCATGTAAGAAGCCTGTGCATACACCTAGCCAATTGAGTTTGTAAAGAGATCTTGACGATTTAATACTGACTCGTTTAGGCTGCTTGGGCAGTTAACTTCGTCGCATCCCTCGAAAGCTTTGAAAAAGACCATATTGCAGGTGTGAATTTTTTTCCGCAATAAGGGATAATAGTTCGCTTTACTAACTTCAAAGCCTAGGAGCTCACAATCTCATAAATTTAGCACTCGAATCAACAAATTGTGCGAAATTCTACTTTTGCTCTTCTACCGCAGCAGTTCTTGGCGACTTCAAACACCCCGAGACCATTCAGGAAGCCTTTACGAATGACCCTCACACCGCAGCACCACTCGGATATAGCCGTTCGAAGTGGGTCACAGAAAAGATCTGTCAGAAATTAAGTTTCAGAGCTGCGGTATTGAGAATTGGACAACTATGCGGAGATACAGTGCATGGTGTATGGAACGAGACTGAGGCATGGCCTTTGATGTTTGCTAGTGCAAATATCGTCGGATGTCTTCCAGAGCTCCAAGAAGTGATCACACTTATACTCCCTGTGTGCTTATGGTGCTGGAAATTTTAAAAGATTGGGTGGGACGCCTTTGCATGGCCTTTCAATAAGCCACTAGGTCATAAAAACACTGTGGCTATTATTTACCTAGCTATGCACCCGATCCCATATAAATTCTTTTAAAATTTCCGGCACCATGCGCAGTATTGATATCTGGTAGCTTGACTAACGGAAAACTAGAAATTATCATGGCTTCCTGTCGATCAAGCAGCTCGGATTGTGCTGGACATCGCGCTAAGCGATCATTTGGATGAGGTTTCAGGCGATCCAGTATTCAATGTAGTGAACACAGATACATCAACATCATGGAGTAATGTGCTGGACTGGATACAAGAACTCGACGATGCAAAATTCAATCGAGTTTCACCTAGTGCGTGGATTAGGAAATTAGCCAACGCTAAATCTGGAACGGCGAATCCAAGTCAGAAACTTTTGGGTTTGTGGGAATCAAAAGTAAATATCTTATTATCCTTGGGTTTCTAATTGAGTATCAACCTTTATCTTCACTTAGAACTTCAATTAACTCTGCCCCACTATAGTACGGACAAGATACATATTACAGCACATCCAACGATGGAGAGACCTTCGAATTTGAGACGAAGAACATGGTGACATTCTCAAACGTTCTCGGAAAACATGGGGGTTGGCAATTACATAGACAATATGTGCAAAACATTTGGAGAAATTGGGTACAGACAGGATTCGTTAAAGTTTAGTATTGCCAAGTAGAAATATAAAACTTCTTTAAGTAGCTTCTCTTTCGGGGATCTCGTAGTACCGCCATCCCGGGGCCATAGCTACACAAAACCGACTTTTCTTTTGGTATGCTTTCAAAATTTGTTGATTGATTTAACGTTTCCCAGAGTGCAATAGAGGGCAATAGATTGCCCTTGACCAATTGTGCGTGTATACGTATATATATTATAGAAAAGTTTCATCAAAGAATATAGCTCATAACCAACACTACTCCTAAGGTACAAGAGATTATTACCCATTGTTATGTCCAATCAGAAGGAGTTGCAAGCTTTTAGTATCAAACGATTCCCCTATGTCTCAAACCCTATGGGCACAATATAAATTGTATCATGGTGCCGGAACTATTGCTGAGCGCCTGTGACCGGATACTGCCCTTTACAACTATATAAATTTAAGTAACCTAGAGAGAAAATGTATAAGTAGGTGAGGTTCTTTGCTTATTTTTCACTCAGATCTAGCTGAGAATATTTTGTTTTCTAGACTGGTCTCAAGGATGGGTTCAAAGATTTTAGAACCGTATCACTTACAAGCACCCACTCAGGGTTATCCTCGTCGATCATAACTTCGGTCAATCTCTCGCCGTATCTCTGGACTACAAGCGATAAATTTAGTTCCGCATTCTTGGAGTCGATATGTGGATTCTTGTGATCAATGCCACCAGGATAGGTCTCTTTGGTCATCAACTAGTTGAATTTCAAGTCTACATATATATCTACGTACAAGTGCAGTTTTTCAGAGATCGCATGTTTTTCATTCGACTATAAAATATGCTAGGATACACGTATTGATGCGTAAATGCGTAGGTGTAGAAAGAAATAAACGCCGCTTACTGCTCGATGCGCCCTACACACACTGAAATCTCGATCGCATCCTGTATCTAAGTTAGTAGATATCCGTCAAAAGTGTGACCGAGAACGATCAAGTGGTTTACCTGGATGCCAGTTGGCTCATAGCTCTCTACCATCCTACTCTCGTAAATCAAACCCGGATTACCTCTTGGCTCAATCCTACCATTAACCAACTTAATACCTTCCTTCACCATCGATTCCAGGGCCTCCTTCTCCTCAATTGTCTTTTTCTCTGCACTCATTCTCACATATCTCAGATACGGAGGATTTCCAGGCTTGATCACGTTATCGGCGGCGAGAACAGTTCCGGGGACGACAAACTCTAAGCTCTCACACAACTTCAAATCGCTGATATACGCAGGTTTGAAATGGTCCAAGAATAATAAGCCGATGTTATCAATAGTTCCCTCACTATGCAGGCGTTTCAGAGATGAAGAAGAAGGCCCGATCACCACCCTGACAGTATCGGAAAGGCCGGCGAGGTCGACCAAAGCCATGATTATGGCTCCAAAGAGGGGATTCATTTCAAGGCAGTAGTATTGAGGCTCATAAGAAACCCCTGAATCTACCCATGTTTTGCGTAGATGTGAAGCAAAAAGCAGAGTACTGTACCCGACGTAGCCACCAAGCTCAACCATTGTTTTGGGGCGGTGATGACTGATAAGATCTGTGACCAATTTTCCTATTTACAATTAGCAACAACAATTATAAAGAGTACGGAATGATGGAAAACCTTTCATCTCCCCAATGTTCATCAGGTACTTCTCTGTTGCGAACCCATCTATTACCGCAAGGATAGCTGCAGGCTGGTTGCGAAGAGCATTGAGCTTTTGTGATGGTAAGTTGAAAATGCGTTGAAGAAGCTCAATCTCGCGGCCATCGTCAAACTGTTTTGTATCGCATGTATTAGATTATAATACCCTTTTAAAGTAGACCTCCGTTCTGTAGATATTTTACTATTAAAAGAGCTCACTCACATAGACATCGTGCTGTTTTGCATAGCTGATCTTGCTCGTGAATCCAGACATCGTGTGCAATCTTCCTTTTGGTCGATTTACTATATGCTGCTTTCCTCTAAATAAAGTGGGAGGCAAAGGAGACCCAGGAATATTCGAATATAAGTGTGTTTTATTTAACTTATTTGAGATCTTCCCAAGGACCACTAGTGTATATCCCGACATATGACCAAGAAACTCCTATTGCTTTTTCCGAGTAAAACTTATTCGCTTGCCTGAGATCGAGGAGAGAGATATCTCTCAAAATCTGGCGGTGTAACATCAATTGGGCCTCCGCGTCTAGATGTCTCAATTTCGTTGGACTTACTTCTGTATCTGCTGCTCTCTACTGTTCCAGTAGTGGTTTTGTTGTATGTCGCTTCCCTTAGAGATCCCCTGATCACGTAGAGGTGATGATACGATTGATGCTATGGTGCAACGTGTCTGATTGGTCCGGGATGAGATTGATCACGTTGTAGCTTTAGATCCATCCGCTCGACACGCATTTATGAAACCCTAATCACTTAAACCCTCAAAATCTAGACTTATAAGTAATTAACCACAAATGTTAAGCCTTTGAAATCGATCAGGATGCACATTGCCTCCTTTCTACTACCTGGAACCCTCACGATCTCAAATGAATCATTTCCATTTTACCCCTCGGCAGTTCCGCTAGGGCCGGTCCTACAACAACGGAAATAACAACAAAAACACAACATGAATCTATCGTTTAGATGCGAACTCACCATCACAACTACGGAGATCTGAATGAAAGTAGTATATTCATGACGTGTAATAAATCTTGCCATGCAGATACTCCGATCTAGAGATAATTCATCAGCCTTCCGAAGATTTGCACGCACGTACCCTTCCGGCCGTTCTGCACCGTCGTATTATGGGAGGTTACATGAACTGATCATGAACTCGGTCGATAGCTATAGGTAACATACATGTATGTACATCTACTCGCGGGGTGATGCCCAATCATACCTGTTACCTGTTGGCGAACTAAGGGCTTACATCTTTAACTCTTCAACCTAGATGTTTTGCGGCGGTCTAGGGTTGGATTTCTGTGATTTTAACTAAGATGACCGACGCTAGCGACTCATTGGGCATTGTTTAATTCCGCTGTTCTTTGCCTAGTATTGGAGTTGGTTTCGTGCAGACCCTAACTCTCTAACAGGAAGGTTTCGCCTTCACCCAGTGTCTAGTGGGTTTTATGTGCTGCCTTATAATAACACTCAGTTCAGAACGTACTATACCATTTTGGTAACAAGTCACTCCTGTGGTTGTCGTGGTTCAAAGATACGCAAATATAGTCACGTCATCTTAGCTGTTTCAAATCGGGTTAATGCGGTCAGTCAGATACATGGAGGCAAGTACCCCTTCCTATGAATAAAACTGCCGGGGAAACGGAAATCTTGAGATATAGATCACGGCGTCATAAGACGACAATAATTAGTAATAACTTGGGGTCCTGCTGACCGAGTAAGAACCATAAGAAGCCAAGCTGATCCTCGAAATGTTTCTCTGCCCCATTCATCCTCAATCCTACCTTCCACTCCTGGGATCAGTTTCAACACCTAGATTTTGGTCAATCCCTTTTCTTCTGTCTTCAACAAGCAGCCCATTACTATTCACTCTGAAATATGTCAGACCTTACAGCTACCGTTTCCGAAACAGAACATGGGTTCCTCGTCGAAGGCTACGAAAGAATCTCCTATGGTTTCACCTTCCTTGATGGCGTCTTTGAAGCGAAGAACAGCCAACTTGCGGACATGTACAAGTCTTGGGGGCGCTGCTTGGCTGTGACAGACATCAATGTCTGTGGCATTTATGGTGCACAGATGGAAAACTATTTCAAGGCTCACGGTATCAACTTGGTTATCCACAAGACAAAGATTGGAGAGCAAGCCAAGACCATGGAAACCCTCCTTTCCATCTGCGAAGCTATGAACGATTTCGGTATCATCCGTAAAGAGCCTGTTCTCGTTGTTGGTGGTGGACTTATTACCGATGTTGCTGGGTGAGTACAATAGTAACGCCGATCCTTGCTCTTTTGGTTTCAATTAGTAACCAACCCTAACCCCAAGAAGATTCCGCTAATAGAAAATATCAGGTTTGCATGTGCATCCTACCGTAGAACGACAAACTTTATTCGAATCCCGACCACAGTAATTGGCCTTATTGATGCCTCGGTATCCATTAAAGTCGCCGTAAATCATGGCAAACACAAGAACAGGCTCGGTGCTTACCATGCCCCAATGCACACTTTCCTAGACTTCACCTTCCTCAGGACTTTACCGGTAGCTCAGGTCCGAAATGGTTTCGCCGAGCTCGTAAAAATTTCGACCTGTGCAGATCTACAGACCTTCGAGCTTCTTGATAAGTACTGTGAGAAATTGATCTCTCACAGATTCGGCCGTGCAGGTGGAAGTAGCGAAGAGCTTAAGAAAGCTGCCGATACAATCAATTACAGAGGGATCCACGTCATGCTGAAGCTCGAAACCCCTAACCTCCATGAACTTGCGCTCGACCGTGTCATTGCATACGGCCATACCTGGTCGCCAACCCTTGAGCTTGCACCGGAGATTCCTTTGAGGCACGGCCATGCTATATCTGTTGATATGGCCTACTCGGCGACACTGGCACGGATGATGAACCACCTATCTGAAGAGCAACACATGAGAATTCTCCGCCTTTTCTCGAGGGCTGGATTGACCATTGACCACCCTCTCTTTGACGAAGTTCTATTGGCCAAGGGTACGGATGCTATCTTGAAGACACGCGATAATAAGCTACGGGCTGCTATTCCCGCCCCCTTGGGACAATGTTATTTTCTCAACGATGTAACCATTGGCGACATGAACGAAGCTCTAACGTTGCATAAGATGATTGTTAAAGAGTTTCCTAGACAGGGGGAAGGCCTTGACGCGTTTGTTGATGCTTCCGACACTGGGGTGCCTGATACTAAAGAGCGGGTTGCCCCCCCACCTCCAGCAAGAATGGGTCGATTCAATATGCTTCCCAATTAAGCCAGCGTGGTTGTACCAACATCAAATCTTTGTTTTATTGTTGGAGAATCTATTCAGTCAGACTCTCATTTTAAACTTTTTTTTCACGGTATTTCTTTTGTTCTATATTATCGCTTTTGGAAGCAGACTAAATTTTCCTCAAGGAGAATGATTGGAGGAATTTTTTGAAGTCTTTCGTTGCGTATTTTATCACTTAATACTGTAACAACTATTTCTCTTCTCATCAAAATATCCAAAAGCATCAGATATCAATAGAAAAAGAAAAAAAGGTTAAAATCGAGTATAAGGCCTCGACTGGACCGCTTTGTTGCACCATGTTGCTTCGCTCAGACTGACATAATATATACTATCTTTTCTTTACTGTTGCCTCGTAAACTTGAAGTTATATAAATGGATTCCCGGATATATAGTGTGCTATCGATTCAGATATCTCTCTGCCCTTATAACGCCATGTATGGTAAGGCGTAGTCTCGTCTCGTGCCCATCCCCTACGTATACGGACAGCTTGCTGTTCGGTAAGCTATACAAGGTGGCAACAAAATGAAGAAATTTGGAGTACTTAAGGATGCATCCTTCCCTCCCTTGGTCGCTATCCATCCCTCCCTCATCCCGCATCATGTTCACGCTATCCTCATTGTTGTATCCGGGAAATGGAGTCAAAAGTTCATCGCAACGTCCATCCTTCACAAGGCATCTCTTCAATAACATCTCGCTGATTTTTCTCAGCCTGGTAACCCTGCCGATCACTATTACTATAGTATCTATATGCCTCTTTTATGCATATTTCTTTCCAGCTCTTCCAACGCGATCCCCTTCCCGCTACTCAGCATCCTCTAAAACCATCCTCGTAAGCTCCCTCTCGATGTCAAAAGGCCTGTTTCTCGCTCGTTCATTCTACCGAGCTGGGCACAAAGTTATCGGTCTCGACTTTGAACGGTCCTATATCCCCTCCAGCGGACGCTTCTCGAATGCTCTCTCTTGGCACTATGAGCTGCCAAACCCAGTCACCAACCAACAGAAAATGGAATACATAGCACAATTGGTGGAAATAATAGAAAGGGACAGGATAGATCTCTGGGTCTGTGTGTCCGGAGTGTCGACAACAGTTACTGACGCACTTGCAAAATCCGAAATCGAAGCGAAAACCTCCTGCAAGGTGTTTCTATTCCAACCAGAAACATGCGAAACACTTCATGAAAAGAATCTCTTTATCCATAAGGCCGCTTCTATTGGACTCGATATTCCAGAAACAACAACAATCAGGAGTCATGAGGAAGCCTTGGCATTTTTGAAAGGCAAAAAATCGGAACACTACATCTTAAAATCGATCTGGCTTGATGATGTTTCTAGAGGAGATATGACATTGTACCCACGACCAAACTTCGAAGAGACAACAGCCTTGATTATGTCATTAAGTATTTCGGCTGATAAACCTTGGATCTTTCAGGAGTTTATTCAAGGCGACGAATATTGCACTCACGCGGTTGTTGTCAAAGGTCGCGTTACCGCATTTGTTGCATGTCCTTCATCAGACCTTCTAATGCATTATGAACCAGCGGGCTTGGAAATTTCTCAGAGACTACTGGACTTCACGAGGATTTACATCAGCAGCCTAGAAGACGGACATATCACAGGGCAGGTGTCGTTTGACATTATGGTCAAGAGGAGTGCAGAAGCAAACGCGGAACCAATATTATACCCTATCGAATGCAACCCCCGTACTCATACCGCTGTCGTATTGTTCAGAAACATCTCAGAAGCTCTCGCCGATTGCTACGTCGACTCGTTCAAGAATTTTGGAAAGGAAGTTTGCATACCCGATCCTATCACTACCGACAGTTTCTACTGGATCGGACATGATGTTGTCACTCTCTTGCTACTCCCCCTCCTCAATCTCTCTGGAATTTTAGGTGGCTTACGAGAATTTACGCTGCACTTTCTTTTCTGGAGAGATGCAACATTTGAATTCTGGGATCCGCTTCCATTCTTGTTCCTGTACCACGCCTATTGGCCTGGATTGTTTTTGAGAAGTCTTTTGACTGGGAGAAGGTGGAGCAGGGTCAATGTGAGCACTGGGAGGGTTTTTGAATACTAATAAGGATGCGAGCACTCCTTTTATTGATGTGTCGTAACCCCATTCTTTCGGTAATTCATCAGGATGGGTCACTCTAACCGCGGGTTGGAGTTTTTCTGCTTTATTTTATTTTGCTTTGGTATTCTTCTTTAGGAGGCTTGATCAAATTACGCACTTAAAAATATTGTTCATCATCCACTGAAATCTATTGCATAGAGTAGTAAGAGTTGAAATGCCTATCTTTTGATAAGATTAAATTAGAGCTGAGAAGACCAACAAACCCAAGCCGAGCAAGTACGTATGTAGTAACGGAACGTGCAGATTTTGTGAGATATAGTGTGATTAAGAGTGTACGATGGCTAATATCAATGCACTATCAATCAATCAATCAACCAGACCAATCCGAGTGATAACTTATGATTACGCCGCTCTTCTCAACCGCATAATTTTGGAGTAAGATGCTTTAATTCGTGCTGTAGTATAAGAAATCGCGTACATGTGTAAATTTTGACAAAAACTTACGTTTCACCAACGGTACTACAGATTAATTAGTTAAAACCTAACCCTTCAGGGCTAGAAGAGTATGTCGTCGCATAGTTGTATTCCGCGCAGTTTCATTCACTTATAAATACATATATACATTTGAATTAACTTGTCTAGATTGTTTAAGAATCGAGCGTTATAGCGGGTTTTATTCATCCAAACTAAATTTGATAAGCTTTCCCATCTGGTTTCACTCGATTTATGTTCTGAAGTGAGAATTCCGAGTGCGAATTCATGACTAAGAGAAGAGTGAGCGTAACAAGAAAGCAGGCATACACGTAGGTATGGTAATCCCAATGATATAGTTTTACCCTAGTCTCGCGGTTTATAGGAATCTATAGCCTTTGAGCCTCTTGTATCCACGTACATTCAGATGAGCTCAAGGAACTGGAGAGCTTGAGTTTTAACGTATTTAGCTTGTTAGTTGTTTAGGGTCCATTAATTCATTGAAGAGACTTTAGTTCTACTAATATTACAGATGCCGTATAACCGACCAGATAATGTGGGTGAAACTATTGATTTGGAATTTTGAGGGTTAGATACTGATAGGTCGAGTATGCGATGTGGATCATGAAATGTCACTCGCATGGATACCATTCTATATCCCTCTCTCCCGTTATCCCGGGTTTGGTAGTAAGAACCAGAAGTATTGACCTGTAAGTTGTACCTATCCGGTAGCGTTTGGATCGAGTTGGGGTCGGCAAATTCGTATTCCAGCAAGAATAGCCCACGTAATAAAAACTTGGCATCCCAAAAGGTCATGTACGTTGTGTGTACCTCCTTCACTTGTGCAAGTCCCTGCATTATTTCAAACCCGGGGTAGAGTTCTCAACTTCAATAGGGTTGAATTGTGAGAACCTCAGGCAGAACCTACATTTCTACATTAGTACGTTCCGCTGTCAAAGTGTTTTGTTTTTAGCATGGGTATATCACCCGATAGCTCTTGGCTAACTAGCTTTCTTGGCCAACTCATCTTCCGGGTGAAGAAAACTCTTGGCTTTGTCTCAGGTTATATTCACTGGCCGGTTTCTATTTGACAGGACCAGGCCTGCATTAATTTCCAAGATTTGCTTGTGTCGGATCCTGGGAAACAATATTTGTTTGGCTGGACATACATGCACATGTTTCGACTCATAGGCTGCATAGGTAGGGTAGAGCATTAGAAAGCGAACCGGATACATGCCTAGATGCAACCTGGCATGTTGTGCACGATATCCAGGCGGGAGGATCGTGGCATAAAATCAACCAAGACTTCACAGAGTGAATTGGTTTCACTGAGCTGCGAAATAGTGATAGGACACCCAAATTTCAACATAACCGCACCATGTGATAAATACCGCCGTAGGATTTATTATCAGTGGTAAAATCCCATTCCAAAGATGGTTCAAAGGTTCGAAACAAAAAGCATTTCCTTCAAAAATTTCAAATTGTGCCTGGACGCCTGGACGGAGTAGATCAATAGCTGTATGCTGAATTGAACTGAATCATCGCTGCTGGGGTCTCCCTACCTCTATTAAGCTAGGCCAGCTTTTCGGTGGTCTGGGAACCATAAGCTTACTGAAAAATGGGAAAGTCCACATGTAGGAATACGCCAACGAACCACGTAACTAAAGATGGATGATTAGTATGTGATGATTGATTGATTGATTGATTGATGAATAGATTTATAGAATCCTGATTTGATCTCAGCATATACAATATTATAGCCATACGAAAGCCTTGCCTTGCATTATTATGTTGGTTTAGCTTATTCCGCCTTATTCCCTATATTTGGTTTCCTTAGTTGATTATTGATATTTGGACCGTCCTGAATGCTATCTTGAAAGTTTTTCATAACAAAAAAATAATTATTCAGTAATTCAAATCCTCACGATATGAGAAAATGCTTACTGCTGTGATGTCTTCTTTTCGTTGCTATCTCTCCAATCACCGTCAATTCCACATCGGACCGGCCTCACTTCCAAAAGCGGAACGAAGCCGACGGGCTACCCTGCGGACACCCGCTCAGAAACAAGCATTCCTCCTCTTGGACTTTGCTTCCGTGTACGGGCGATTTTCTACCCACATCTACGATTGCTCCAATCGGAGTCCATGCGTCTGGGTCAATCGTAGGATACTATACATGTTGCATGTCATTAGCGCATGTAGCGGAGGCAGTATCAGATTTCGTTACTAGGCCGCCCTAGCGAGGAGGTCCTGTAGATGACGATCGCGATACCTTTGGCCGACCCTCACCGATATCGACTTTAGACTCGAGAGTCGATATTTGTTCTGTATGGGAAAACATCCCTAAAGGGGTTGTCGGTTCGGTAATAAACGTCGCTCAGCGACGAATTGGGTCGAGTCCGGGTAGTCCCCAGTACCTTTGTCGCGCGAACCGTCAACTGTTAATTAGGATGTTCTTGAATTGGCGTCTCATGAGCAGGCAGTGCAATACAATACAAGCCCAAGCACATCAAGAAATATTACCGATGAGCAGAATACCCATCTACTCCATCTCTGTGGTTAGTGGGCCGACGCCAGTTGATCTTGTTGTGTTGTCGTCGTCGCGCAACTGATCATATATGGGCGCAGCAACGCTGGACAAAATAGCGCAGTGGCAGTGCAAAGGGAATTCCAGTTTTCTTGTTTTTTTCCTTCAGACGGTATGCGGGGGAGGACTTATATGCGATTCTTTTTCAATTAAGGCCAGATCTGAGAATGCCTGAGCGATTTAGTTAATCATTTTCCAGGCGACAGGTGCGGACGTGGGGTTGATAGCGCCAGCCCTTGCGAAGAAGGGCGAGATGTAGGGGAAGGCACGCCTAGGAAGCTTTGACCTCTTTTGAAACCGTGTTTGATGGCATGCATCCTAGGGCAATATATATCTTATACCCTTCGTACTCTATTCTTTGTAGGTGCAAGTGCTATTACCTAGATAGCATATATGTATCTACATGTGCATTCAAAGATAGAGAGATCCTTTGAGTTCAGACTAAGGGGCTAGGTTGTTGCATAATGATTCTCTCTAGTACTGCTGGTGTTGTTTCCCGGTCGAAGCATCTAATTGAGGTGTTAATGGTCGTGAATACGTACATACTTGTATGGATAGATTAATAGAACAAATGCACCGATAACACTACATAGTGGCCTGTTAAGCAGGTCCGCTATGTACATGCCCTACTTTGGCGTGTTTATCGCAGTAATAACCATAATTGCGGTCAAATTGTGGGATCTCGTGCGTAGTATCTTTGAATTTGATTCCAATATATAATAAGGTGCACTACATTAACTAAGTACTTAACTAGGGAATTTACAAACCTTATGAGAACCTTAAATATTAAATACAAATCCCATATCGAGCAGTGTTTGATAAACCATAAATAAATAAATAAAAATAAAAAAGAAAGTGTCGTGAATGCTACCCATAAGAAAAATCCAAATATCCCCCCAAGAAAAATGAAAGAAGCATTAGTAAATGCCATTGTGTCCCAATGAAGTTAGAATTGTACATGATAAAGTGTCTCCAAAAATATTCCACCTAACAGCCCCGAGAGGTTTGTCTAGCCGATTCTAGACAAGCTTACTTTGACGTCACGGCTTGCAACGTCAAATTCCATGGCAAGCATTAACGGCGTTGTTTTGTCGCCCTCAGTACGATATATCTCCTCTCCTCTAGTGTGAGGCCATCATAATCCTGCAATTGGATCTCGGGAATTTGTGGCCTCTGTCGAGTCGGCTGCCTCCGGGAGCGCTGAGTTTGCTGTCTCCTTGACCGAATCCAACCCTGACAGCACCTACAGTCCGCCGCATAGCATGCACTTCCATATTTAAAGAGACTAATCTCATCGTAGCCTGGTAGGCCCATATCATGATAATAATATCCCTTCTTTATGGCTACCTCTTTCTGATAATCCATTTCATTCGCTGGAATAACCTTTAATCCAGCCTGGTCGATGTAGGTGGTATCATATCCAAGGTTTGGGTCAATGTACATGAACATTCCCGATCGCGAAGAGGAATACCCAAAGTCGTTCTTGCCAAGCTCGAGGAGTACATTTGATGCGCGCACTAATATAGGCGGGTGGCTTTCGTAGTCATCTCGCGAGTAAACTACATTGCAGAAGGTTGTTGAGGCACCGGGGAATCCGAGTTGGTAAATTTGCCAATCTTCCGTGATTACTTTTCCACGGGGAGTCGCAATGCCAATTGCTCCTTTGCCAAAGTTCTTAAGAAGAGTAGACTGTATTTGGTTCAGAAGGCCATCATAGGCGCTGGAAGGAAATACTAGTTAATGTCAATGCTTTAATGGTAGGTAGGGAATTTTAAGCTTACTGAAAGGTAGCAGACGTAGTGAGAATCTCTCCATGGCAGTCACCCCTCAGTCGAATGGTCACCGAGCGCACCCTATCGCCTTCTGGCTTAGGATATACCCTTACCACATTCCTTGATGGTTTGGTGTCAGGTTGAAAATATGCCGTTGAGTACAGTGGCGGACT